CAAACTACACCTTAAGAAAAGAAAAGCAGCCTTGAGTGAGGGAAAGGAAACATAAACAGCAGTTACAGTCAAGCCTTGCTGGAAAAGAAAGGAGTTTAATTAACCATTATATTCGATTTACCTAGAAGAGGCGTGAGAAATGAAGCCCCTAGAACATACCATTCTCAGACCAAGAGAAGATTGATCCTCATTCTTCATTCTAATAGGAAGCACTGTAAGGCTGCCATTTACTCCACTTCCCTGGTGTTTCCAGTTAATTTCCGCCTTATATTTGAGCTTTCACACACTGTAAAATCTCTTCTGGAAATCTAATCTATATTTTGATTTTGTTCTGTGAACCGCCCTGAGACCTCCGGGTATAGGGTGGTAAAGGTAAAGGTAAAGGGACCCCTGACCATTAAGTCCAGTCGTGACCGACTCTGGGGTTGCGACGCTCATCTCGCTTTATTGGCCGAGGGAGCCGGCGTACAGCTTGCGGGTCATGTGGCCAGCATGACTAAGCCGCTTCTGGAGAACCAGAGCAGTGCACAGAAACACTGTTTACCTTCCCGCCCGAGTGGTACCTATTTATCTACTTGCACTTTGATGTGCTTTCGAACTGCTACGTTGGCAGGAGCAGGGACCGAGAAACGGGAGCTCACCCCATCACGGGGATTCGAACCACCGACCTTCTGATTCACAAGTCCTAGGCTCTGTGGTTTAATCCACAGCGCCACCCACATCCCTGTATAGGGCGGTACATAAATAATAGTAATAATAATAACAACCACCACCACCAAATAAATCACAAGTTAGAGCTCACTCTGGAGTTATCTTCTTGAAGAAGAAAAATCCGCTTCCAAGTCTGGAATACGTTTGCAAGCCTGGACGTTTTGCATAAGGTCCAGGAGATTCAGAGTCTCTTTACTGCCTTATATTGCTGTCAAGCGGAGCAGCAGAACCTGGCTGGAGCCTCTCACCTGCCAGTCTGCTGACCCTGTCGGCCACCTCTCTTTGTGTCCCCATCTCCCCTCCTGCCTTGCTTGCCTTGCTGCTGAGGATGGACAAAGAGGAGCAGCTTTTCCAGTCCATCCATGCTTCTCACTACCATCAGAAGCAAGGGCATCATTCACCAGGCTTCCTGTCTGTACTCACCTGCAAGGTCTGGGTGAGGCTCCACTTGTAGTTTTCCTAAAAGAAAGCCACTTGTTTTAAGCTGGTAGTGTACTGGGCCTCAAAGTTTTAAAATGCAGTAATATACATAGATTTTCCCATTCCTAAACAGGCTTATGAACCTACAGCTGTAATACTTAGGAAGGCCACTTATGCATCTCCCCCCCCCCCAAAAAAAAAAAGAGAGAGAAGAGGATTTACATAAATCTGGTATGTGAAAATTTGGAAATAATTACTGTGATTTAAATAGAAATGCAATGCATCTCACCATATTAGGGACCAAGAGACTTGTGTGCTTACTGGGTGGTAAGGGTTGACGGACAGCTTCAAGGCCTCTGCTCTCCTTTCTTTCAACCAATCACAGACAGCCCTCTCAAACAGAGGACTGTCCTCTATAATGTAGGACATATGCCCCCTTGCAAATAATCCTATGGCAGGATTCAAACAGCTGTACAACTGGCTGGGCTGGCTCAAAGGGAATGTGGGCTTGTGTTTCTTGAAAATGAACTCTCCATGCTGTTGGCAAACCTCTTTTGAAGGAATTTTACCAAAGCAGTTTGCAGTATGTGTCTCTGATCTGCAGTATGTTGCAGTATGTGTCTCTGTGGGTGTGCATGTGTCTCTGATCTGCATAACAACAACAACAACAACAACAACAGATCCTGTTGGGCATTTCCAAATGCTCAGGGGCAAACTTAACATAACTCTTTGAGCCCTGGCCTATAAATAGCATTATGTCTAAAGTGGAATTACTTGGAAATTACAGATATTTATGTAATCATGTGGGATAGAAGTTTCATCTCCCCCGGAACCTCCTTGGGAGAAAAGCAGCATTCAGAATCCCTAAGTCACCTGCTGTAAGTCTTCTGTTATGATGATTGTCTCAGGCTAAAGTCCTTTTTACACGGGGGTGGGGGGCAATCCAACTACCCCCCACCAAGTAAACAGAGCTAGGAATAGGCTTGAAGGATTTTAAATAGAGACGACCTACACACCATACAGTTAAATCCCTCATCTCAAGAATCCTGGGAACTTAAGAGTGCTAGGAATTGTAGCTCTCTGAGGAGTAAACTAGATTCCTCAGGATTCTTGGGGAGAAGGGAGAAATGTGCTTTAATTGCATTGTATGTAGGCAGTCAGAGTTAGCGTTCAGGATTTATGTCTGAAGGAACACAGCGACTTGCTACAACCAAATAAAGGAGAGCTGTGTTTCTGGATCTGACTGGTCCTCAGGTTAAGACACATCAGCATTTGGAATTTTCCTCTTCACAGGCCCTTTTTAGCAGCTTACAAGGAGGTGTAACACATAAAACAATGAAACGTAAATCAGTCCCAGAGCTCATTCATCCAGTTCATGCTTTTTCTGTCACCTAAACGCTGAGGTGTTCCAAAGCCTTTGGTCTCCATGGCAAACATTTTCTCCCTCTTTTGTTACAGCTCACAGCAAATATTTGTACAGAGTGAAATGTTCAGCCCCATATATTTATGGATCTGCCATCTGCTGAGGGGAGCCACCACCCACCTGGTAGGAGACGGATACAGGCTAAGGACCTGTTCCGTCAGTTTTCTGCATCCCCGTCCGTGTGCAGTTCTGAAGCTGGAGGAGTTTGTTTGCTTCCTGTTCAGATTACTGGCTGCCGATAAGAGGAGGAAAGAACGCGGAGCGCGCAAATTTGCTTGGGAATCGTATCAAGGCTTATCCCACACCCCGTTCTGCACACATCATTTTCAGTCTGAAACAAGTTCTTAGCTGTGTCGTGGAAGGAAAACTGGGCACAGCGGAGGGGCATGTCCTTTTGTAGGCATTTACAACAGCCCTCTGCAGGAGTTACAGAGAAAGTGTAAAGGAAACATGCAGTGGGTGGAACAGGGACTAGCGTGCGAACTCTGCCCTCCCTCCCATTGCCATTCCTACTACCTTACAACTCATGGAAGGAACCTGTCTGAAGCAGGCAGCCTATTGTACTGCTGGAGACTCCACGTGCATTTTTGGAATGCACAGAAAAAAGAGTCTTTATGACTATGTGTTTCCTTTAGGTCACAACTGCACTGCACATTAACAGCACTCTTATACCATTTTAACAGTCATGGAGAATCCTGGAAACTGTAGTTTTTTGAGGGCGCTATGCATGCTGTAAGCATGCCCAGCTGATTGTTGGGTGGGCGAATGGGAAACCAGGAGGAAGGAGGAATGAAAGAGGACATGGGTGGTTGGCTGGAACTCTGAATAGGGCAGCTGAATTGGTAGAGCAGGAGGTTCTTAATCTTGGGGTTGTGGGTTTGAGCCCCACATCGGGCAAAACATTCCTGCATTGGACCAGATGATCATCGTGGTCCCTTCCAACTCTACAGTTCTGTGGTTCTAGGATTAGGAATGTTCGACGCTGCTGCATTTTGTTGCAACAAGTCCCACTTGTTACCTCCATTCCTGATATTCAGGGCGCGAGCCAAAACAGCACCATCAAGAAAACACTGGTAAATTCAACAATGTAAACAAGTTTTGATGGTGCAATACTGGAATACTGAATGGTATAGTTTTTGTAAAATATGCAGGGATTTATGATATGTAAAATGAACCATGGAAAGAGAAGAAGGGAAGTCATTGATATCTTAAGGATGTAAAATGAGTATTTTAAATAGTAAAACAGAAAACTTAATAAAATTATACACAAAATAGTACCATCAATGTTTAACAGGCATGGAAGAAGTTTCGCAAAAGTACAAAAACGCTTTAGAAAAAAAATATAAATGGAAGAGATGCGTGCCCCTCTCCCAATAAAACAGGCCAATGAGTGACTATGGGATCCTGACTAATGGTTATGGGGCAGGGCAGAATGGAGGCACGGAGAGAACAGGAGGATGCCATAGTCAACCCACCTTTTGTTCCAAGCTTCAGTTGATTATTCTAATTCTTATTCTACAGAAATTCCACAAGAGGATAGAAGTGCCATCAAGTCAGTCTACAAGGGACAAACTTTAAATGTGATCAAAGAACAATAGGAACTCTCTTCCCACATCACAGGACAAAGGGGCAGTGGGTGCAATGAGCCAGAGTGATGAGTGATTGAGACGGCCTCTCTGTGTGGATGCAGTTTGAAAAAGAAGAAAAACATTGCTCTTGATTTGTTGCATCTATTCTAGGAAGATGAGAATCGCCAGAGAAACTGCTGCTTAAGCACCCTCTGAGTAGGTGCCCTTCCTGTCTTGTTTACGTCTCAGGAGATGGGTTGTCTTTCCCCATTATATTCACAATGACCTGTGCTGTTGACATGTCTGCTTCTTTCCTTACTCTTGTTTCTCTGGCTCCCACTGTGTGCTTCAGAACGCAGAGATTCCTTCATAAGAGCCCCATCGTCTGTTTTAGATGGATGCAGTCACTGTTGGTGCTTGAGGCTGAATGGAGAGGTTTAGAATGGCCACTTGGTCACAGAACGACTAGGTGGTGATGCGGAAGCGGAGAAAAAGATTTAGATGTTACTGAATAAGAGCAGATGGAAGGGCTTCGGAGTGGGAATGTGGTTTAACAAGTAGAATAGTTGCGCTTAAAAGGTCTGGAGCAGAGAGGTTGTTTCTTTCCGACAGTGGCTCAGTGATTTCTGCTTGGAGAAACCTCCATGTGAGTACAGTGCCCACCTGTGGCACTGATGGGGACTGCACATCCTCTGTGCCAGTGTTTCTCAAAGAGCCTTGGCTCACTTTCAGGTGGGTCACAGCCTGCCCAGTGCCCCCTCCCTTGCCTGCCACACACCCCAAGCTTTGCAGTTTCAGATTTGATGAAAGGTGCTTTGAACTATAGTTGGAAACGAGAGGCAGAAATCATAAAACAAACTGACAACACCAAAGAGAGGTCTGAAGGATTCGTCAGCAGTTTATTATTTTATTTTTGGGGGTTTTTCCCCATACAAAATTCAAATAATTTGAGTAATTTGTGCAGATAGCACAGCCAATTCCTTTGCAGAACAACTAAGGCTGTGCTCTTAAGCCACCTATTAAGAAGTCAATCCCACTGAAATCAGTGGAAATGATTTTTGAATAAACTTTCCTAGGACTGTGTTGTAAGAAATTGATCTTTCGCTCATTCACACTATCTTAGCAAATGCAGATTGCAATGAAATCTTCAAGATAACTCTGCACAAAAGCCTATTTCTACACAGCATTATAAAGACTGGGAGCTAACTACTGCAAATTAATGGACATAAGAAATGCAGCAGGAGATTCTCATCTAGGTAACCATGAATACAAGAAGCATCACTGGAAAAGATAAATACCTTTTCATCTCTAGCACGCCTATGCTGGAAGCAGCTCCTAGCTATTTAGATTGCAGAGCCTGCACTGGTTTGCACTAGGTTCTATTAATCCAGCATGGATTGATGCTCATCTGTGCATCTTGTATGGTTGGGATGCGCTGAAACAGAGCATTTTACACCCTAGGTTGAAAACTATGGGAGCTTCCAGAGTATAGCCGTACATTTATGCTGATATGTTTGCATGGGCATTATATGAAATTGCCAGCTAGTGGCTTTCAGGATGGGTGAATCTGTCAATTTCCATTTCTCAGATCTTCTGTAATCTTAAATTCAGTTCTCCACATTTCCACGTATATAAAATTCACCAGCATTTTCATGCTAATTGATCCTAACAGATGCATGCTTGTGCATAATTTCCCCTACTATACACATTTCTGCAAAGCAGTTTTCCCCCATCCTAGCATACTTTGTATCTTATTTTCACAAATATAAGTATTGCTATGTATGCTTTCCTCCAACTGCAGATTCTCAAGCTGTGGAATGAGACTCTGTGGGAGGGGGGGGGGTATTGTGATATGAAGTTCCAGGAAGGGAAGGATCCTGAGGTAAAACTGTGCCTTCATTCTCACTAACTGAGGTTTGATACTGCATCCATGGCCACAACTGCTCCATACTTTGAAAGCATCATCATGCCCTTTGAACAGTCATGGCTTCCCCCAAAGAATCCTGGGAACTGTAGTTGATTAAATTTGCTGGGAGTTGTTAGGAGGCCACCTATCCCCCTCAGAGAGCTAGGATTCCTAGAATTCTGTGGAAAGGGGGATAGACTGTTAAGCCACTCTATAGCTCTGTAGGGGGAATAGCAACTCTCAGCACCCTTAACAGACTACATTTCCCAGGATTCTTTGGGGGAAGCCATGACTATTTAAAGTGGCATGATACTGAAGATGGGGCCTACTTCTACTACTACTACCACCCTTGGAAGAGGCAAGATAGGCCTGGAATGGGATAACGGCAGGTTGGGAATAAAATTCCAGAGAGGGTAAAGAGAGATGGTCCAGATAGACACTTCTTGATTCACATTGCTTCCCTGGGGTGTGATGATCTCACCGCTGCACTTATAGCTCAGTCTGAACAAGACGCAATGCTTTCTTCATGTTCTCTATTACTGAAAAAAAGGAGAGAAAAAGATAGTGACGTGAATGATGATCATGGTTAAAAATAGAGAAAAGAAACTACCAAAAATCCTGCTGTTTTCCCCACCCCACTGACCTTTGGAAGCAACAGCTGGGATCTTCTTGCACATGGAGAGCAAAACAAAAGAACCCAGAAATGCTTTGAGCTCCATCCAGTCAAGTGCAGGTGCAATACAGCCACATACCAATTAATCTCTGCCTGGGCCCAACAGACCTCTGTTTGTTCTCCCTGTCCCCAGCTCTATATAAGTATGAAGGCAGCAGAAGGGGCCAGTGCGGGGAAGGGGAGATATGTGCTTGGCTCCCCATATCTGGATCTTGGCTGACACACAATAGTAAAATGGTGGTGCGACCTTTTCACAATTGTTAGGAGCTTTCCTTGGAAGGCTCTTCAGCAACTGTGTGGCTCCGAGAGGCCATGCCTGTAGCTGTGGGAAGTGGCGGTGGCAAAGGTGCAGGGGGAGGGTTTGAGTGGGTGGAGGGGACAAGCGATGGAGGCAGAGGGGAAGGTGGAGGCATGGTGCATACGGGCGCCTATTTTTCTTGAAAAAAACTCTCTGATCGGAAGGTCAGCGGTTTGAATCCGCTGGAAGGGGTGAGCTCCCGTTGCTCTGTCCCAGCTTCTGCCAACCTAGCAGTTCGAATATATATACAGTGGAACCTCTACTTATGGACGTAATCAGTTCTGGAGGTCCATCCGCAAGTCAATCAATGGCGCTGGTAGAAGCGCCATTGTGCACAGGTGCATTCAGCGGCAGCACGCTTCTGAGCATGTGCAGACAGTGTCAGCCTCTTCTGCGCGTGCGCAAATGGCAGAAGCCGCTTCTGCACATGCGGGAATCGCTGCAAACCCAGCATTTACTTCCAGGTTTGCCGTGGTTGGAGCTTGGATTGGGCCCAAGTAGAGGCGGTCATAAGTAGAGGTTCTACTGTATATATATGCCACAAGCACAAGGATAGCAGTGCACTGCTCCCCTGGCCAATGTCCATATGCTCAGCACATCTGAAACAGCAACCTGTGCATGTAAGTATATGAAAGCTCCCCTTTGGATGCTGCACTAAACATGCAGACATCAGGGCATGGGGCCAGTGAAGCATACAGGCATTAGTGCTGTGCTGTCAGCTGTCGTCAAAATTCTAGAATTTCTTGCTTTAATGGAAATGCACATGTCCAGGAAGGCTGCAGAGTGCAGACCACTGCTGGGGTGATATGTAAGGTGAAAAACGGAACCTTATTGTTGGTCCTAGAACAATAGGATCCAGAATGCAGCAGTCTGATTGGTCCACAGGAGCCACCCAATCCAGCTCCAGGTGGAAGTGAATCCGCAACCTGATTGGCCTACAGGAAAATCCTGGAATTAGCCAATCATGTGGGGCCCATTGTGTAAATAATGTATATAAAGCAGACATTCTGGGGGAACTTCCATTCCTCCTCACTACTATGAGCTGAATAAAGAGCATGAAATCCACTCTCGACTCCGAGTATATTTAACTCAAAAACACCCCTTGGTTTCTTCAAAAGTAAGGCGAGCAAGACAAAAAAACCTGCACCCAACCTGTGAGAGTTTCTGTAACATTTTCTTCCCACTTTGATAATTTTTGAAAGCCATTTCTTTTCTCATTAATTAATAGAGGGGTGTTTTTTTGGTTTTTTTAAAGTGCAGGAGGTAAATTTTTGGCACAGCAGTATGCAGAAAGTGCAGACCTGCTTCTCACTCTGGGTGTTTTGTAATCTCCTGCAGCGGTTCACCTGAGCACTCCCTGTATGGGCAGCACAAACATAAGCTTGTTTTGAGGGATCAACTCACAGACTGGCAGGTCTTGAGGCTCATAAGTATAGAGTCGATTAGAGTATCTTCCAGTGATATCAGCCCTTACCGTGAGAGAAGGATCTGGAAAAGCAAACAATATATTGCAGTCATCCCAGATATAACAGCATCTTACTCTTATTTCATGCTAAGAGGTAGGAATTAAGATTTTTGAGGGATGTTACTCAGTTGTCTGTAATGAAATTAATTTTAATATGGCTCAGTCTAGAGTCTGATTCCGGTTATGGTTCTCAGGGCAAGGACAAACCATAGTTTGCTGGTTTGGATGTGATGGCAAACTATGGCTTTCTGAACACCTGGATATTACTAATTAATTAGTACAGCACTCAAAGGAGATAGAAGCAGAGGGATGAGAGAGCATGTGTGTAAGAATTTGTTCCTATAGTACCAAACAATAGTTTAGCATTAAGTGTGAACCAACCCATTGCACAACAGTAATGGATGGTTGGGATGTGGGTAGGAATCTATCTGGGCTGTCTCTTAGTTGAAGACCCAGGTCATCGAGCCTGAGCTTCCACAGCTGCCACCTGCCCCAAACCACCAGGAGGTTTAACAAATTGAAGGACATTGTCTTCTTTCTATGCTCCTCCCAATGGCAACATGCAGATGGGGACAGATACACCCCTGCTTTAAGTCATTTACATACTGTCTTCTCTTGTATATTATTTACTACAAAGCTTGATGACTAAGTTATTTAGTGATGAAACATTGGATTACCGGAACAACATCTGAGCACTGAACCACTGGTATATCACAAGTAGACTCTTTATTTACTGTGTTTGCTATTGTTTAAGATAAAACTTGTTTAGGAAAGAAACTACCTTTGCCATTTTTATGAATGTTTAGTGTTTGTTTACAGATAGTTGCCTTGATGATATTATCTTGTGTTGATTGCAGTAGTCATTGTATCACTACCCTGTTCATTGCAGAGGGCCTTCTCGGTAGTGGTGCCAGCCCTGTGGAATGCCCTCCCATGAAATGTCAAAGAAATAAATAGCTATCTGACTTTTAGAAGACTTCTGAAGGCAGCCCTGTTTAGGGAAGTTTTTAATGTTTGATGTTTTATCACTTTTTAAATTATTATTATTAATATTCTGTTAGGAGCCACCCAGAGTGGCTGGGGAAACCCAGTCAGATGGGCGGGGTATAAATAAAATAATTGTTGTTGTTGTTCAACAAACCACCATTGGCAAGATTGGCAGCAACAGCAGCAGATATGTACCATGCTTATGATACTACTGTATTCTCTTGTTAATTATGCTCTTTTAGATGAGTATTTTGTATCCCTTTAGTTATGTTTTCTTTTGAAATCTTTCAGATAATCTTTTTTGTTTGTTAACTGTGTTGTGATAAATGTGCATTCTGTAGTTGACCACCTTTGCAATGTTTTGTAGAGATCTGCCGCTGCAATGTTAGGCATGTATTTATTTTAAGTTTACATTACTGCTAGGAGGAGGCGACTTTCACCTTCCCTTCGCCACCCCTGGACTCTCCTGCAGTGTCAACCAGCTGCTGGAAATCCTCATGCTTCATTGAGATGAGGTTCCATTTTAGGGTCATAGTCACATCCAACACATACCTACAAACATGATTCGGGGCACATATTGTCCATCAGGTGACATGTTCTTGTCTGTTGTTTCATGCTGGCAGGAAAAAAAAAGAAAAGAATGCACACCATCTTAACCTTTAGCACTAAATCAAGCATTGTAACTACAAACAATAAGTTTAATCTGTGCATTATATGTGCGCACCATCAGATTAAGCATGATGAAGTTATTCTGGCACATCTCTTGAATTTCTTGATTGTCCACGAAAACCTTCTTCAGTGCTGGAGAGAGCAAAGGAAGATCGTCATTCCAAGTGCAAAATACAACAAATGCCAAGAGAGTAGGCAAGCATTCCTCTTTATTAGTGTGTCTTGGACCCTGCTGAACAACAGCCTGAAGGGTGAGAAGGCAGAGTCACTCCACTTGCAGCTGATCAGCCTTCAAGGACACAGAGGAGAAGAAGGCACTGATGAGAACCAGCTGGCTTCAGCCTTCTCAAGCAGAGATTCCAGCAGCAGTTAGATGCTGGCAACAACTCTTGTAGCTCCTGGCCCTACCTTGCTGCTTCCTGCTTGTCTTGACCCCATGATCATCAGATTCCCTGACCCCTGGACCATCTGACCACATAGATTGCTGTTTGCCCAATCCTAAGACTGGACCTGACTTTGGATGCTGACTTGCCTGACCTCCAGGCAAGTACACCTCAGAGACTCTTCTGGTTGTCTAGCCTCCCAGCTCCACTGAACTCTGCATGCTGTTCTACAACAAGACTACGACATAGAACAATACAAAATAGAACCATCCATTGTGGTCATATCTTCCATGACCCCGTCTTCCTCTTCACAACAGAAGACAGAACTGGCACCCCAGTCAAAGTCTTTCCCACCAAGGTAAGGGACACTGTATTTCTATTTGAATTAGAGTAAAGTTACCAGATGTCCCCGTTTCCTGGGGACAGTCCCTGGATTTACAAATCAGTACCAATACAAAATCCTATCATTCTTACTGAAGTTGAAAAGTGTCCCTGGATTCATTGGAAAAAACCTGGTAACCTTAATTAGAGTCAAATGTGTATCCTGTTTCCTCTTTGCAGGGAATATGCAGGCAGCCACCTGAAGTGCAGCACACAGTAGAATCATTTATGCTTGCAGAGAGATACAAGAAATTGTCGTTTCAAATCAAACATGCTTGATTTACCTTGACAATACGGACAATCTTCCAAATGGTGAATGACCATCAGTGGCTTATTACTTTTCCAAGGAGAAAGAAAAACATATTAGGTTAAATGCAGATACATTTTTCTATCACAAATGGGATGATGGGCAAATGGTGTGGCAATGAATTAAGTAACGATTAGAAAGTACATTGAACAGGCTCAGAGAAATCCTCTGCAAAGGGACAAGAAAAGTAAGCAGTGTACGTTTGTTTACGCCATCCCATAGTAGAATTCCCCTCCCTGACAGGCGCGGGTGAAACATGAAACCTGCAGAGCAACTATAAGAGCCATATTTGAATGTCTGATACCTGTTGAATGGTCTCTTTAAATTTGAAGGTTCATTATTGTTCCACAAGATGTGTATGTCTTTAAGGGCCAGAGCTAATAACATGACCTAGTTTTACAGCTGTGAAACAGCATAGCAAGTACTGCTAAGTTGTGTTAATTAAGCTGTGTCAGTAATTGGGTATAGTATATAAAGAGCAGCACCTAGCTCTCCCAGTACCCTGGTGGATGGGTCATGCTTATTGATATATTTCAGTGTTTCCCAACATTGGGCCTCCAGCTGTTTTTGAACTACAATTCCCATCATCCCTGACCACTGGTCTTGCTAGCTAGGGATGATGGGAGTTGTAGTCCAAAAACAGCTGGAGGCCCAAGGTTGGGAAACACTGAAATGTAAAGGAGTTTTTGTTATTGTTATTAAAACCTAGCTAAAGTTATTTTGCGTTCCTTGTAATGTGTGGTCTCCCCAGCAAGCTCTCTGCAGCGCAACTAATCTGCAAATAGCCAACAATACCACCTTCCATATTTCATCTCAAGACTTCTACCTCATACATAAAGCCCATAACAATTTGGAAATGAATTATGTGAAAGATTACTTACCCTCAATCAACCTGTAAGGTCCATTAGATCACTGGGGGGAATTTTACTCATGGCATCACACCTAACAGTAAGGGTGGGGAGCCTTTTTGACTGTGACCCCACCCCATGGGCCAACTTTGAAACATGGGCGGGGCAACCCACCTGTCATTCACACGATGTCGTCATGATGCCGCACAGTTGACAGGTGGATTATCCCGCCCACCTGCCAAAATCCCTTGTGCTGGGTGCCCAAGCTTGGGAAGCACAGCTCAAAGGGTGTTGCCAGCCCTAAGCTTTGCAAGTCTCCCCACGCTGCTCCTTTCCACCCCTGATGGAAATGGGAAGGAGCCACATGGAGCAAGTTTTCCCTTGCTGCTGCCTTTGGAGATTGAAAGGGAGCAGCATGCAGCTGCTTCATAGTGCAGCACTGGGAGGGAGAATCAGCTTCCATTGAATGGAAACTGCTTCCCCATCCTTGAGTTGTAGGAGATATATGCATAGTTCTTACACTGTCAGCCTGGAAGGGATATTTTGTTAGAGCAAACCTCCTTCTCCCAAACAGCTTCAGGGATGGGATCTTACCTTTGTTTTGCCTGGTAGAGCCCTTCTTCATAAGTTTGTACCCAAGTTATATCATCTCCCCATCCTGGAACAACAGATTCAAGGTAGATCAGTGTCCATTCAATCATCCAATATATTTTTCAAAGTAACCTAAGCCAACAATGAAAATTGCAAATGTCCACCCTTTCCGTCTTTTTATAGAGGCTGATCAGTAGTTTGTACGTTATCCTCTCTGTTATTAGGCACCACTTTTCTCATGACATTTTTGGCACATACCAGGCGCACAAATATTTAGGTGAGAGCATGTGGGAAGGTGTTTTCACACCATTTGAAAAACCAACCCACCACCATATTCAAGGAGAAGCCACATTCTTCTAGGGCCTTTTTGGTGGTGGCGCCCGCCCTGTGAAACACCCTCGAATCAGATGTCAAGGAAATAAACAACTACCTGACTTTTAGAAAACATCTGAAGGGAGCCCTGTTTCGGGAAGTTTTTAATGTTTGATGTTTTATCATGCTTTTAATATTCTGTTGGGAGCCTCCCAGAGCGGCTGGGGAAACCCAGCCAGATGGGTGGGGTATGAGTAATAAATTATTATTATTATTATTATTATTATTATTATTATTATTATTATTATTATTTAATTAATTAGGTTAGAGTCTGGATGAAGTGATGCTTTCAGGCTAGAACCAGCAAGCAATGATCTTCATCTTTCAAACTACCTTCCTGATCCATTGGTTATTTAAATAATAATAATTTCCTTGTCTTAAAAAATTTCCATACCTCGTTCAACACCTACTTGTTTTGAATGAACTTTAAAAAGTAATCAGATTGTGCAGGGATCCAAAGAACAGAGTGACACTACAGTACCTCTGGAGAGTGTCTGGGGAACTCTTTTTTCCTTTTTGATTGCCATTGCAAAATTGGAGGAAACAGCAATTAGCATGAAAGATAAGCCCAGCGCTGAGTGCATCTTTGTCTTCTTTCAACCCTCTTCAAGATAGACCTTGATAAATGGAAGAGAAAGTCAATGTTTTAACCTGGTATCTTCCTGAGAAGCTGTGCTTGTATGTGTTCTGATAAGATACTTTTTTTATTCTAAGAAAGAGATACGAATTTCCTTTAACAAACTACTGAAACCAAACCCACGTATTAATGAAAAAAGACAGGCAGATTACGCTGAATTATTAATAGCGATTTCAGGTTCATTTTATTTTTTGCCCATTAACACAATATCACTAAGAACAATCCCTCTGACTCTTATGAGCAGATGGTGACCAGGAAATGTATACTTGTCTGATATTCAAAAATCTCATTTTGTAGGGAAATGTTTGAATTTTCAAAGGGTAATTTTGCATTTTAAAAAAGTAGTAATTTAATGCAACCCCCTCACTCTTGTTTTATGGAACATGAAATGTTTAACGGAACTGAAATGGCTCAGTTTGGCTCAGTCAGTAGAATGTGAGACTCTTAATCTCAGGGTTGTGGGTTCGAACCCATGTTGGGCCAAAAGATTCTTGCATTGTAGAGGGTTGGACTAGATGATCCTCGTGGTCCCCTCCAACTCCACAATTCTATGATGCTAGGCACAAAAAATGCCACAAAGCTTCTGACGATAGCTGTGATTTGAATTCATTTTTCTCCCACATCTAACCAGAAATTCAAATGCTAGGCAATGTAATAATAATAAATAATAATAATAATAATAATAATAATAATAATAATATAATTAATAAACCCATAGGAACTTGGTTGACTTTCTTGTTGAATATTCAAAAGAATGTTTCCTTTCATTGCACCAGCCCATTTCATGGTTCCGTAAAGAAACAATTGCAAATTTCATTGAGCAACTAATCTCCGCTGTTCTCTCTTTTATTTTTTAACAAGACCTGGACAAAATGGGCCATTTGTAAACATGGCTGGTCGCGGCACAATCTTGTAATCTCAGAAGTTGGTCTCCCTTGAGTTCAGTGGGGCTTACCCAGGGAAAGGTGGACATAAAATTGCAACCTGAATTCTGCTAATATTGGCAAATTCTCTCAAGTGCACTTTGAAAGGGTCACAACAGATCGTAGTCGTAAATGTCTACTGAGAAGTTGTCACAAGATTGTACTGTGGCTTCTTCATTCTCCAGAAATTCTGAAATTGTAAAAGTAATTGCTTTTGTAGACAACTTAGGATTTCATGGTATAAGTATTTTACCTTCACAGTAAAAGACTTCATTTAAGAGAACCAATGCAATTTATACATATTTACTCTGAAGTAAGTCTCCAAAGCGTTTATTCCCAGACAAATTGGTATAGGATTGCAGCATTAAGCTATAATCCTATACACTCTTAACTGGGAGTAAGTTCTATTGAGCTTAATTGAACATACTTCTGAGTAGACATGCATAGGATTGCGCCATTGACATCAGTTGTATGGAATGGCTCTTCCTCCATTTGTTCTCAGCCAAGAAATCTCTCCTGGGAACAAAAATGTTAGCTCCAAATTCTCTATATGGTAAATTATTACAGATAAAAGGAGACCTTAAACAATCAATATTATCGCTGTCAGATGCAGAGGTTAGTATCAGCAAAATAAGAAATTAAAGAGATTTCTTATTAATATCTTATTAATTAAAGAAATTAATAAGATATTGTTGAGAAACCATTTCCGATTTGCAAAGACAAAGTTCGTGCCAACCATGGCAGACAAGATTCTTCAAAGACACACAAATCACTAGCCGCTAAACTTTACCCTGGCATTAAAATATAATTTTCTTTTTAAAATGAAACATTTTTCTCATTGGGAAAATCTCCCGCCCTCTTCCTTAATACAAGTCATAAACTGCTGCTATTGGAAACCTTTGACCCCACCCTAGATAAACAAAATCCAGCAAGTCAGCAAGTTTTTACAACACTATGAAATCTACTTCAAATACAGGTATTGCATCCAAGAGATGCCCCTTAGTGAATATTTCACAGAAAATGGGTAGACCGTGTGTAACTTCTTCCTGCCCTGGTTTATTTGCTTCTTTTGTTTAAGGTAAATTTGCAATTAAAAGATGTTAAAAACTCTGGATTTTGCTCACCGGAGCTGATCAGTTGCGCCGGCGAAAGTTCCTTGCCAAGGAAGCAAATGTTTTAAAGTGGGTGTGATTTATAGATCTGAGAAGAGCTGACTTGCCTGGTCCCTTCATCCAGATTTTACAGCAGTATAGTTCCTTGAAAAAGGGATAGCAATGTCTGGCCCTGGCCCATCCCTCCCTCTCTCCCTCCCTCCTTCCTTTCCCTAAACTTCTCTGCAAGTTCTCATCCTGGCATATTGAATGCTCAGATTTCTCTCCCCATCTTTGCTTGTATCAGGTGTCATTGCATTGGAACGGAGGAAAAGTAGCGTTTTTGTGTGCATCTGTGGCTTTTCCTCCCAAATGGCTACAGCCTGGCTCCAGTTCAGTGAAATAAGAAACCAGCAATGAAAGTTGGAACTGGAGGTGCTATTGTTTCCAATGAATGGCTGAGTTCACTAGGACTCTGAGATTAGGGATGAAACTAATAGGAAGATACAACAGTTACCCTTTGTGCAGAAAAAAATGTAATTAAGAAATCAAGGTAAAAAAAAAAAGTTTAACCGAGAAGGGGGGGGGCAAAGTCCTCACCTTTCACAGAATAATGATTGAGTTATGGATGAGTAAGGAGGGCGAGAGTTTTAAATGTGTTTTCTAATGCAGTACTGCTGACTTCATTGTGCTTTCAGCAGAGAGTTGTTTACTTTGGTTACACACCTATGTTATCTTTGCCCCTTTTTGTTGCTTGGAATACACTGACAATTGGGACACCGATTAGGTGTCAGGAAATCCTGGATATGTGGGCAGCTCTCCCAGGTGGTGAACCTTTGAATTACAGGTGCCAGCTTTGCCACAGAAGTAGACTGACTCCGCCTACCTAGGCTGCCTATTGGCTCTTCCTAGACAGGAAAGAGTATAAGAAGCCTTCCTGTTCCAACTGACCATTGTGAATTCTTCTGTTCCTGAGCACTGACGTGTAGTTAGTTATTGCTGGTAACTGAGCCTTATGAGGAGCAGTTGAAAGAGCTAAACATTCCAGGTATGTTTAGCCTGGAAAGAGGAGACTGAAATAATAATAATAATAATAATAATAATAATAATAATAATAATAATAATAATAATAATAATAATAATAATAATAAAATTATTATTTATACCCCACCTATCTGGCTGGGTTTCCTCAGTCACTCTGGGCGGCTTCCAACAAAATATTAAAATACAATAGTCTGTTAAACATTAAAAACTTCCCTAAACAGGGATGCCCTAAAGAGCCCTTCTCATCTTGCAAACTCATAAATATAAACAACCTAAAGTAATGGTTGACTCCATTGAGTACAGTAAATATAATAAAATTAAGCATGTGTGTTTGATAACTGCTGAAGGAGAGCAAAAGTGTGTTCTCTTCCATATGATATGATAGCCACCTTCCATTATTATTATTATTATTATTATTATTATTATTATTATTATTATTATTATTATTATTAAAATTTCTATACCGCCCTATTCTTGGGGGTCTCAGGGCGGTTCACAGAATAAAATCAAGATATAAAACCACAAAATACCTAATAAAAATAAAAACAGCAAACCAATAACACCCCACGCCACAAAAAAACACATTTGAAAAGGGCATAGGATGCAAATTGGATCAACCAAAGGCCTGGTTAAAAGGGAACTTTTTTGCCTGGCCCCTAAAGGTGTGTAATGAAGGCACCAGGCGAACTTCCCTGGGGAGAGGATTCCACAGACGGGGAGCCACTGCAGAGAAGGCCTGTCACATGGGCTGTAACCCTGTAGCCAAGGGCTGTCACATGGAAGGGGGAGCAAGCTTGTTTTCTCCTGCTCTGGAGGGTAGGACACGAACCAATGGCTACAAGTTACAAGAAAGGAGATCCCAACTAAATGTCAGGAAAAGCTTTCTGACAGTAAGAGCTGTTTTACAGTGTAATGGCCTCCCTTAGGAGGCTGTGGACTCTACTTTCTTGGAGGTTTTTAAGCAACGGTTGGGTGGCCATCTGTCCTGGATGAATTAGTTGAGATTCCTGCATTGCAGCTGGTTGGACTAGATGTCCCTTGGTTCCAACTCTACAATTCTGATTCTACAGTTCTGACTTCTGGTTTACACCTCCCTTCTGATTCATCATCTTTCTTTTTTCTTTTTCTTTTTTGAAATATTTATATACTGCTGTATCACCTTTTAAAAAATCAGAGTGGTTTCCAAAATTATATATACTGAAAGCACATAAAAATTAAAAGTCAAAGCCCATCAACTAATCATCATTTCTTAATTGCCTGCATAAACCTGGTGGCACAGGAAAGTTTTCAGCAGGTGTTTAAAGGTTGAAACAAAAGGCACTCACTGAATCTGTATTAGCAGAGCATTCCATAGGACTGGACCAATGTGGCTAATAGGAAGGTTTCTTGTTGGCAGATGGGACTCGCCAACACTGGAGACAACAAATCATGCTGCTCCAGATTATCTTAGTGACTGATCTTCTATGTAAGGGCTTAGGTGATCCTAAGGTACCCTGGACCCACATTGTTCAGGGCTTTGAAAATGAGTATGAGGACCTTGAACTTGGCTTAGCATGGGCAGCTGGTTCAGAATGCCCTCTGATGTATTCTTCTGTCCAGTATTTGCTGGCCTCAGAGCTCCTGACGCTTTGCTCCTGTCTCCCTTCAGACAGCCCATAGCTCAGTCTTGACATCAGGATCAAAAGAGCTCATTAAATGGGTTCTTTCAGGCAGATATGCAATCAAGATGAATAATAGAATCTGGAGCATCTTAACACTGCATGAACTCCTGCATAAATATTTCCTCTTGCAGTTCTTAGAGCACAACCCATAGAATTTAAGGTTGAATAGCTGATTGTCCATATTCGAGAGATGATACCATAGACTGTGAGAAGGTGATTGCGTAGGGGAGGCAATTTCCTGCAGCACTGGCCCCAGACAACCCCACGCATGAGGACCCCATTTTGCCACCACCTTCCCAGTCTGAAGAAGTTGAAATGCATTTTATCTATGTTAACCACTGCAGAGATCCCAATATTTTGCTATGATTCCCTTTATTGAAGAAGTAGCCTTTTTAGAGCCAATGTTGTTGTGCTAGTCTTTCCATCTCTGACTGCAACTGTTGGGAGTATTTAGAATGAAGCGTCTCTTCCACACTGCTAAACTAGATAACTTTCCTGAACAACTATGGCAAGATTAAATTATTTTATTGTTTAGCTTCAATGCAGGGCAGTGAAAGTAGACGAATTCATTATTTATGCTGCAAGCGCCATCTGCTGGAACAAAAGTGCCATGCAAATATTGAAATAATTCCAACAAGTGTTTACAAAGAGCTGCAAAAAAAATGATTGCAAATATTTTTATTGTGCATTTTTTAAAATGGCACTGTTTGAGTCATTGTTTTAATAATCATTTAAATGCAGCTTGGAGGAAATGGACTTGTTGGGTACTCAGAAGAGTTAAATCAAGTTTGAGAGTTCTGGACTGCAAGGAAATATTTTCTGATTATTATTATTTTAACCATCTAGCATGAACACAGGAAAGGAAGCCCACTGATGTTTCCCTTATTTGCTCATATCATTAACATCAGAAACCAGTACAAGAAAGATTCTGGTATTTATGCTCTGGTTGAACCATAAGGCTGATCATACATGTTGCTTTAAAAGTTGGATTCAAGCAAAATATTTGACAAAGTTCCCCATTATATTTTGGTAGGCAGAACAGATTCAGTGTGGGCTAGATGAGCATCGCATGGATTCACAGCTGGTTGGAAAATACTCAAGAGTGTTCATTAGTGGTTCCCTATCAGACTAAAGGGAGGTTTCAAATGTAATGCTGCAGTTTTCAGTCCTTGGCACTGCGCTCTTTGATATGTTTTTAAAATTGGTGCTAGATCAAGGGGTGGAGGAAATCCTTACTAAATTGACAGCAGCGTTTGAAACTCCCATTGTTGTAGGTGCATTTTGCAACAAGGAAGTTCATTAGCGTGAGCAGTTTCTGAGCTCTGGTTTTCAGATTAAAAAACTGCACAGCGGAAGGAAAGGGGGACTTTTCTGCCTCCCCACTTCCTGCTACTCTCTGAAGACTGGAGAAGAGACCCTCTTAAGAATATTAGAGAGGTGGGCAGGGGAAGCATGGCTTTGTTTTTTGCAGTCTTCAGATGAGGACTAGACCATGGGGGGAAATGAACATAAGATTTTAGCTGCAGTTCCTTCATTTTCAGCTTTGTATTCTTGTTATAAAAAAGGATGCCTAGACATTCATTCCGCTGATGCACCCACAACCTATGTTTAAGGTGCCATTTAGCTCCTAGCTTTCATATCTCAGTATCTAACACTGATTTGCAGATGACACAAAGAGGGAGGATCAGGAATAGCTAATGTCATAGAATACTAACACAACATGAAATCCAACATGTGAATGGCAGAACTACAGATTGCTGTCATGAGTATCTCCAAGTTCAGGAGTGGCTCAGCTCCTCCAGGCTGACCATTAATGGGAGCCTCCTGGAAACGAAGAACCATAGATGGTCCTCCTACCTGCAACTAAGTCTTACTTCAGTTACAAGCTCTTCTTGAGCGCAGATGATTTTCTGTACATCTTTGGGTCTTGCCTGTGGCTTCATCCCACCAAGTCTTGTTTCTAGTTCCCACTTGTTCCTGGGACACTTCTTTTTGTTTTTTGCTCTGAGGTTGCTTCCAGATGACCTGTTAATTGAGCATTCAGGTTTGTTTGCAGGGAAGTTAGATGACCGTCTTCAGGAGAAGAGGGGTTGTTGCACAAGACCTTCCAATCCAGTGTAATGGCGCCAGTATGTGATTGCCTCTCACGTCAAAGAAGCAACAATCTAGAAGCACCTTGGCTCTCAGGCATGAATCCTGGCTTCCATGTGCATGGCTCTTCTCAGCCTGAGCCCTAACAGTGCACCACTCTCTCAGGTCATAGAGTCATAGAGTTGGAAGAGATCATTTAGTACAACTGCCTGCAATGCAGGAATATGCTTCTGTCTCATAGGGGGATTGAACTTGCAACCAGGCTCTAACCAATTGAGCTATCCAGGTCCGTTCCTGTCTGCAAGGTGTCCTGTGATGTAGGGGTTGGAGGAACTGGAGATGGAGATAGTGAAGAAGCTTGGAAAGTGTAATGGGAAGATTGGTTGTATGT